TTTCCTGACACTGTAACCTAATTCCTGGAAGCATTCCTTTCTCAAGACTGTGGTAAATGCTACCACAGCTTATTGGGGTTTTTGTGAGGGGCCACAGTAGTAGAAATAAGTAGCAGGTAGTTTAAACATCAGCTTAGAATCTCAGCATGGGAATAGTGCAGAAGCAGGGAAAATACATAGCCATAGCTCTGAACATTGCAGCTCATGCAAGAATAGATGGATGAAAAGAGCAAAGCTGTCTAGTCTGGTTCTCAAAACCTTCACTCAGAGCTTCACTTGTGACAGAATATAAATAGCTTTAAATGCAATATAAACTAAAAACATACAAGGGATGCTTTTATTTTTAAAGAGTGGTGCTGGAGATAGATAGGCTCAAGTTAAGGTCTTTTCCGTCTCTGTCTGTAATCGTTCTCACGAAGGCATCATCCACCATGTGGTGAAAAGCTCCATACTACCTGTGTGACACCAGTGTATGTGAGTGGGCACTGTACCTTCTAAAAATCCCAAAAGGTTCCTTTTACTTCTGTTTGTTTTAAACAATTAGAGCTCATCTATAACTTTCTCACACAGGTTTACAAAACACACAAACTTGTCAACGCTGGCATATCTGATATCACCATCCGTCCAGACAAAAAGATTTTAGCAACAGCAGGGTGGGATCATCGCATCAGGATCTTTGGCTGGAAAAAACTGAAGCCCTTAGCAGTGCTGGACTACCACACAGCAACGGTCCATTGTGTGTCCTTCTCAGATCACAAAAACCCCAGTGAGAGACTGCTGGCAGCTGGCTCAAAAGATCACCGCATCAGTATCTGGTCAATATATACTCAGACGTGACATGTTCTGCACTGTCATGGACTAGGAAAACAGGATTGGTGAAGCAATTCTTTACACTGTAATTCAAACCTGGATGTGGGGAAGTAGCAGAATGTATTTCCAGGCTGACGTGAGAGTCCTAGGTTAATTTTTATGCTGCTTGTTCAAGCTGCGAGTTTTGTTTTCCAGAGAGGGAAGTGGATTTTTAAAATTCGTAACAAGCAGAGCAAGGCCAGTCACAAACGAAGACATAGAACAAGTCGCTTTGAGTTCTGCTACAGGTTTTGCAAGAGCTTTTCTTTGGCAGGTTGCTTAAATAACTTGTGCCAATATCTTCTTTTGTGAAAAAGGACTGGAATCCCTCAGACTGCTGTGGGGGCAGAATACGTCTGTTTGTAAGTCATTATGTATCCAAGAATCTGAATCAGTGTAAAATATCGCTCTTTCTTGAAAATTTATACCCATTAAACCACCTCCAGTGGTTTCTCATTGTCAGTTACTTTTTCTTCCCCGTAACTGAAAGGCTATCAGAACAACCTTGATTTGTTCACACTTCTGTCAGTTTCTAACTTAAACCAACAGCCAGGAATGTGACTAGGGACGGCCTTTGGCATTTATGAATTTCATTATGTCTCCTGTCACCTCAAGCCTCACAATTAATCACAAGAAAGAAAGGGAAAAAATCTTCCCCTGCACTGCACTGCAAAGCTATGTAAAGCCTTTTACAGAGCCAGTGCTAAATCCTTTCCATAGGCTGACTAGCTGAAGGATTTAAACTCGGCAATCCCATTAGCGCCCTTCTCCTTGGAGAGTTAGGGTTAAGTTTCAGCATGGCAAGTCTGGATTCAGCTACACAACTCCCATTTACATTTAGGGGAATTGCATGGATAAATCCTTATCCACACAGTACGAATGGCTCCATTAAGTTGTCATCTCTATGGTCATGGAAGCTGAAATTCACTCATGAAGGTTTTTTTTGTTTGACTCATGAAGCAGCATTTGCATTCTTTTAAAGCATATTAGACATACAACAGACATCTTACTGTAGTATTCAGTCACAAAGGTGCTGGTACAACTGTCCCACTGACGCAATTAGCAAGGGCCAGCTTATTAAAAAGGAGGTGGCCTGGAAACTAGAACTCAGCTTTACAAATTGAAGTGTTTTGTGTCCAGGCTGTGCACGGCTGATACTTTATTGGACGTACTTGTTTCTGCCTCTGTACAGACCTGGACATCAAAGAAAAAGTCACCAGAACTGTAGTGAACAGCAACATCAAAAGACTTCAGAAATTATTTCAGGGAAAACACACAAGCAAATTAAGGTCTGGGTCTGCTATCCAGCTGTGCTTTACCGCTAGAGAATGCTGTTGGACTAAAAGCCTTAAGCACCAAGCCCGATGTTCTTTCCATTAAAACACAGAAACAGGTTACTGTTGCCAGGCTTTTCTAAATAAAACTTGGCCTTGCACATTTTGGACTGTGATGACACTTTAAATAATGCATTTCTTTGATTATTTCTTTACTATTCGGTAGCAGCATGGAGGATCACACTGCAGTTGAAAGTTAAAGCCTAATTTTGAATGATCTTGAGTCAAGGGGAGGTGCTGGTGTTTATTACATCTACCAGACAGAGCTGCGTAGATGGTAAGTGCTCCATCTCTACCCATCATCCACCTCCCACACAGAGGAGGAGCTACCTACACCGTACAAGAGGCTCCAGCCAGCAGCCTTATGGAATGAGACGGGGTCTGCCTTCACAAACCTGCTGCTGGAAGAAACCTTTTCTTTTTTTCTCCTTTCTTAAAGTAGGTCACAATTGACATAGTTAAACAAACAAACAAATACAGAAAACATTGTGGTGTGTAGTCCAGGGACTTGTCATCAGGAGTCTGCAAGGAGATTTCCTTTTGGCTGTCGTGTCTCATGCTGCACCACACATGAAGCCTGTCAGGCAGCCTTGAGATTGGTGTCTCCCATTTGAGTGGTGCTCTGCAAACAGAACTTGGAGAAATTTTGCTGTACGAGAACAATTTCACAATTGCTTAATTTTTAAAAGGACATAACCCAGTGGATACATGCTTGGGTTTTAGTCTCCTCTCCACTTGGATTACAAATAAATAAGTTTAATATAAAATTAAGTAAGTCGCCATCTGCTCAGGAGAGTGCCCTGCCCTGTGCTTTAACCTGTGTACTCACGGCACCTTTTTAATAAAACCACCTTGAAGTGAGATCTGATGAAGGCCCATGCCCTAAAAAAAAAAGCACTGTCACGCTGGTGGTTGGGCACTGTCCTGGAAGGTGAAAAAACAGCTCTGCATCTCCTCAAGCATGGATCGAGGTGTCCTGTGTCAAAAATTAGCACTCTATCTCCCCCAACCCCGAGGTACAGGGTTAGAGGCACAACTGCTACTGTCATTTTGCATGTATCAAGGCCAGGAACACCTTCCTGGGAGTCCTGGTACAACAGGCATGATACTGCTCAGTGCTGGAACGCAACATGCTTTTAGACTATCTGAAAAACTTAGCTTCTGAGAAAAACTTAAGTTTCCACAGCTTATCACTCAAAAAATCCCAAAACCCAAAACCAAAACCAACCCCAACCCTCAAGACACACAGTCAGTCCCTGAAATCCAGCAGAAGAGGAAAGGAAATCCAGGGCTCGCCCATCTTGGGTGAATGGTTACTGTAGGAAATGAGAAGGCCCCAGCCTGGTCCCGGCAGAGATGAAGTAATCACTCTCTGCTCTCATCCCTTTGACAGGAAAAGGCAGCTGTGCCACCAGAGAGTATTGTGAGTGGTGAGAAGCCAGGTTCAAGACTGGAGCGGGGACTAAGATGCAAACCTTGCCAGCATTTCAGGGCAGCTCCATGCTCAGCACACCCCTTGTTTTGAATGCCAGTTATGAGCACCTAATGCTCCAGGGCCATTGTGAGGCTCCGAGGCACTGACGCAGCCTGGCTTCTGCTCCTGGCACGGCTGGCTGATCGGCTGGCTCACAGCCACCCCCCACGCAGTATTTCCCTCCTGTGTTCTAGACCTCAGTCCCAAAGTAGTATGCAAAATGCATCTTTAATGAAGGCCTATGCATCTTACATTCACTGTAGGAAAAAACTTTTGATGCAAATACTATGGTATTGGCACAGTGGCAGCCCCCTAGGAAGAACGGATTAATACCCCATGTCTTAATGAGTGCTATTAAACCAGAGCCTGAAAGTTAGGAACCTTTGAGTATATTCTTTTCTCTGAAAAATGCCATTTACTGTCAGCTTAGGTGTCTAAAGTAATTATGGAGACTCACAAGGTATGTTTAGATTTACTAATAGGTCTTTTGGAAGATACTCTAAAGATGACTATGTGCCTTCACATCTAACTTACCACCCTTTGCTGGCGGTTAAATATTTATGTTTGTCTGACTAGGTAGATTTAAAAATAAACTCATTCATGCAAGCACAAATTGAAAATGAGGGCATGAACTGCATCTGTAATCTTACTAGCAGACAGACACAGAGGTAAAGAGTTTCATCAGCTTCAAGAGGAAGGACGTATGCTGCAGATCTCCTTGCAAGAACAGACCCATCCTATGCTTATTTACTTCCCATTACCAAAGCACTATCCATGAGATGCTTTTGCACATTACAACAATTAATTCATTAACACTTTACATCACTGCTGATTTTATTTAAACACTCGGTAAAGGGAATTTTAATTTTTTTCCACATTACAGTTTCCTTGAAATGAGCAACCAGACTACATTCGTTTGATTTAGAGTTGAGCCTAAACGCCATAGTTAGAAAGTGAATTAGAGTCTTCTAAAAGTTTATTTGCTTAAGGAACTGACCTGGACTTTTCCCAAGTAGAATGATTTCCAGCAGGAAGGACAGTCTATATTGCTATAGACTGTAAAATACAGTTGTCTGATTGCATCTAGGAAATTAACAATTCCTTCTTCTGAAAAAATTTTAAAGCTCTTTACAATTGTAATATGAGCATAGTTATCACCCGAGATTTCAGCTGACTTGCTAGCAGGAAGGTTGTGAGTGAAGAGCCACCTTAAGCTGCTGGAGTTAGCTCTGGAATCTCACCTGCCAGAAAGGAACAGGGCTAGCCTGTACCTGGCCTAAAGGATTCAGGAGTGAAGGTGATGACAGCTAAATTATTACAAAAGGCTTCCTCCCAAGAATCATCGTCTCTGGCACTGTGAAAGGGAAGAAAGCAACCAGCATTCATAAACTAATAGAAATAAATCCCAAACACTAGCATTTGTGCAGCAATTACATGGAATATTTATCACCACTGGAATGAATGGTGATCTCTGACCCTCTAACATTTTTTGCAAATGAATCCATTAGTTCCAACCCCTTTCTCTTATCAGTACATGAGCCATAAAGCATTGCAGTCCTAGGTGTAGATGAGCAAGGAAAGAGGAAATTAGTTGTATTTGTAGTAATAAGTGAAAAAGGAAGTAGGCTGAGGGCCTGCAATGAGACAGTTGTTAAATTTAGCCCTATACAATGCTATTGCATTAGTAAGCCAATAAATTAGTCTCTGCAGCTTGACTTGGATTGTTGCAAAGGTTTGAGTTTTAAAGAGCAGATTTTTATAGTTAAAAGTCAATACTGGCTTCTGGACTGCTTTGGTTTTTAGTACATTTAAGATGCATCTACAAAGCCAACTTACAAATTAATAAATCTTTCCTTTAACTCAGTCTGCCAAGAACAAAGATAGAACACTGACTACTGCAGGAGCCATGTTAGTGATGTAAACCAAAGGACTGGGGATTAAACAAGGATTACCAAGCGCTAAATCAATGTGTTTCCTTTTCTGGCTGTGTGTCTGTGGTGTGGAAGTATGGATCATTACATAAAGCATGGCACATGACTGCCTGGATTAATACTAGACAATGTTACAGCAATGCTGAGTCACAAAGTTTGGTGTTTAAGCACGACCAGTGTGCTACCAAGAAAGTGACGGCAATGACTAAGGGAGAAGGCATGGTTTTTCTGTTGTTTGTAGTATTCTGAAATTCCAGCCTGGGTCCCTCTACCAGAGTAATTTTTCCAAGTAAACCTGGCTGTGTTTAATCCATGCCCTACTCTTCTGGGGCATGCTGGAGGTTTCTTCTATAATGTGAAAAAAACTATCCAGAATTAAGATCATTCGGGGGGGTGGGGGTGGCAATTCATTTAAGGATCTCACAGTATGAAATTAAGCGCAAAAAAACCCCCCAAAACCTCACGTCTGCACTATCAGATAGAACAGACGGAAATGTAACTTTATAAATAGACTTAAATTGAAGCATACCAGTCGTGAAACTTGCCAACAACATCAAAGTAAGTGTGGAGCAAGTAGCCATATTCTGGATACCGAATTCTTTGTCCCCTGACCTTACCACATACTGTCATCCCTTTTGGTCAAGACAGGACCAGCAGCCAGAGTTTGGGGGTTAGTCACACAGCCTTTCTTGTGTGTGGTTTTATTTACCACCACCC